ATTCTCATGTTCACATTCCAATTCGAAAGAAAATCGAAATGTGTTGCAAAAGTGGACTGCCAGTAGTTACTTCGATGCTAGTCACCACTGAACGTTTGATAAATGCGCAAATCTAAAAGTCTAAGAAATCTAAACGTCTTGGAAAAAGTCTAAAATGTGTAAAAAACCTAATTAGATTTTTGACTTCTACACGACTCGTTTTTTCTCTACAAAATGAGGTATGATGAAGTTTGTGTTTGTACTTGAGAAGGTGAAAACAAGCAAAATATTAACCAATTCTAATTTTAATTCCACTTTTTAAAAAGTAGCCTATAATGTTTAATCTAATACTGGTACAAGTTTGAGATAATGATACATGCATAGTATTACCAGATGACGAGTGATATAAATTTCGTGCATCAGATGTGCATAAATGACTTGAAACTAATCGTTAACTAATGAATTAAACTAATCCCTAGGAAAGCTTCAAAGTAATCTCTGCTTGTTCTTTTTAGTATTGAAAATTCCCAAAAATTCATTCACACTCTCCCTTATCTTGAATCTCTATTTGATAGTTAATCACTTCACACTAATTAACATGCAAACTGAGATTGCTGAGAAAGTACGTGACCAGTTTTATAAGTTGTACAACGGAGTGCTAGAAAATATCAAACAGAATGCGATAAAGAAGGAAGAAACCGCAATTTTTCGTGAAACACAGCAATACGAAGATGATACCCAAAACAGTAGAAAATCACCGGCGACACGCATATTTCGAGAGTTACCCAGCACAAACGAAATTCGAAGACGAACATATTCTCACTGGACAATAAAGTCGCCGACTCGATCACAGATGATTGCCAGTGGCTTCTTTAACTGTAATGTTGGAGATCGCGTCATTTGTATCTATTGTAATTTGATCTGTCAACAGTGGATTCACAAAGACGATCCAAGCGAAGTTCACAAAACTCTTTCTTCAAACTGTTGTTTTGTCAAATCAAATCTTGTCTCTACATTCTCATCCACGCGCGCCATTCTCAATGAGACACTTAATGTATCAGCAAATATTGAAACTGTTCTTACCCAAGCATGTAATCAGCAGTATATTGAAATACATAAACGGCAATTAACATACACAAGTTGGCCTCGAGATGTACCATCACCATCTGTGGATGATCTAGTTCGAGCCGGCTTCTTTTATTCTGGCAATAAGGCAATTGTAACATGCTTTTATTGTAATGGATCATTACAGAATTGGGGAGAAAAAGATAATCCAATGATTGAACATGCAAGGTGGTTTCCCCACTGTCCATATATTAACCAGTTATGTGGAGATGATTTATTTCAAAAAATTCAGCACGCAAAACGTATTTCACAACAACAAGGTGATGATATTTGGTGTGGCACTTTCTATGTGTATAATTGTCTCTTCGGTACATTTAGCTCACACAAATAGACAACAACAACAAGAATCCATGACAAAATCCAACACTTCCTTATTAAATGTTAATTCAGTTGTTCCACAGAATTCTACATGTGTGCAGTTACAAATATCAGATGAGAGTGCATTGTCAAGGCTTGTTTCTGCTCGACTTGATTTACCTGTATCTCAGCGTCTTCTCAACAAGTTTAAATTATCGATTATTAAACGTGTTTATGAAGATCAATTAAGATTAAAACGTATGTTTTGATCAGTCGAAAGAAATTTAAGTTTTCCAAATGTTGTTTTTAGTTGATGATTTTGAGACTGATGGAGACATGCATATGGCATGTGTAATTCTCCAAAAACAAATTCAAATTATTGATGGTAAGAAAGAAAACATTGTTATACCATCGCAGAAACTAAGAGAAATAACGGAGAAAAATAAACAAGGTAAGTTGTCCGAGTCGATGTCTCGATTATTCTTTCTAGCGTCAAAGAATTCTCTCTAGAAGTGATAATACCTCAATCGAATTTGGCAATGGAAGAAGATGAGAAGTATGGAGTACAAGAAGAAACGTTTGAAATGGTAACATCGATATCACCATCTGCGAATGCGGTTGAAACGGGTATGCAATTTTTAGAAGCTAAGAGAAGTAGAATGACAAAAGATGATTTAACTGTTTTTAGAGGAAAAAATGAAATCGAATGTGGCAAACGCCTGTATGATGTACTCGAAAGAAAAGAAACGTGTGGCGTGCATTCCTTGCGGTCACCTGGCAGCGTGTGTGAGCTGTGGTCAATTTCTTCGCACTTGTCCTATATGTCTCCGTGAAATGGATGCTTTTGTTCTCGTCTGCATTTAACAACGATTAGAAATTCTTCATTTTCACTGAAATAAAATCATTTATCAATGCACTTAATCATATTCTTTTAATATGCTGATTACGATATTCTAGATATTTTGTTTAGACTATTGCCTGTTCACGTTGAGTTAACATGAAAATAACAAAAACATAACTGTATGACTGACTAATTTTGAGACTTTTGTGTAAAAAAAGTTATTCTCCCGACACCCCGAAGAATATCGAAGAAGTGAAAAATTGTTAAACAAAAATTGTTTTTGCCCGCACTGAAATGTTTTATGCGAAAAACATACATGACTGAATTTTTGGACTACAGCTAATTATGCATATCGGTTTGTCCAGCTGACACTTTTGACCGTTTTTTGTCACACCGTGACGGTTTTTCTGATTTTTCGTTGATTAATATAGATTAATTAGAATAGTTTCGAACTTAACAAGCTATCACATCTTGTAGAGCAAATAATTTTCTACAGACTGGTATACTTGTTCAATTTTCGCCTGCTCGTCTTCAGTATTTTAGACACGTTTTTCAGATAGCTCCAAAATTGATTTTGTGGGCTGTTTGTACGACAGCTGTATTTTCATAACTAATCAACATTCAGAGCCAAGACATTTTTCATTTTGTAGAGAAATGTTTAATGTACTTAATTATGTAGTTGCAATTTTAGATTAGTTTGTAGCTTTACTGCAATAACCTTTTGAAAAAGCGCGAAAAAACGATACCGTTAGCTGGACAAGCCGATATATAACACTGATGTATTTCTATTTTTCTGGGAAACAGTTGTTTCGTATCTTCAGAACAAAAAGTGTAAATGTGATACTGAACATATACTTTGTAAACTAAAATGGTTCCTAATGAATCCTCTTTCTGCTTGAGGTTTCAAATGTAGAAACATTTTGGTCTACGAAACCTAAAATGGTTTAGCTAAAACGTACGAAACGCCAAATCGTTCTGCAATGACCTACGAAACCTTAAATAGTTTCACCAATTTATGCAAAACCTTATCGTGGTTTCGTACAAAACTGCAAAAGGTTCCGTACGAAACTTTCTCGGATTTGCAATCTAATGAGTTTTGTAGGAACCACGTTAAGGTTTCGCATAAATTGGTGAAACTATTTAAGGTTCCGTAGGTCATTACAGAAGAATTTGGCGTTTCGTAGGTTTTAGCCAAACCATTTTTGGTTTCGTAGACCAAAACGTTTCTACATTTGAAACAAATCCGAAACCTCAAGCAGAAAAAGGGCTCATTAGGAACCATTTTTTTTAAAGAGGAAATTTATTTTTATTTAATTTTTAAATCCAAGGAAAGTTGTTTTTAAGGGAAAAAAGAATAACTCGGTACTGAAGATGAAAATTATCTTACCTACCAATGTCAATTTCAATGGCTGAGATATGACATAATAACTTGAGAGACGACCGAATGCTTGACACTCACGGAACAAATTGAGAGAATCAATGGAGCGAATATGATTTTCTGTTCGAATGAAGTGACGAACTTATAGTTATTGTTTGTAGGAGAAAAGGGGAAAGCGACAATTGGTCGAACGACACTTGGTCGAAGGACAATTGGTCGCAGACAACTGGTCGAAGCGACAACTGGGCTCTTCGTGCGACAATTAGTCGTCTTCATGCGACAATTAGTCGCACGGTAGAATTGGTCGCATGTATAACATTAACTAAACAGGAATTTTGGTCAATATGCTGTCTTATGGGCTTATCAAGTAATCAAAGTAGATCAGCGTACCGTCAAAGTCGCAATTAGTTTAGAAAGGAAAGAATAACTGATCAAAAAGCATATGAAATGGGTACTAAGTAGATAATCCGATTGCTCAGCCGTATATATGGCCGTTCAATAGAAGAAAAATCACCATTCANCCCACTGCTGTCATTCGACCAGTTGTCGTAGAACCGGAGAAAAGTATTTTGGACAAGGCCATGACCTCCTAATGAATCCTTTAGATACTTCTTCACGAGTGACCTTCCATCTATCACGGAAGCCGAGACAGTTTCATAAATATGTGAGTAGAATATTCTTATTCTCGTCCAACCTATCAACTTTTCTCATTTTATTTCCTAATTATCTGCAATCAACAGTTCAACGATTATCTTGTCAGTTTCATTCAGAATGTCTCGGTTACTGTTTTCGAGACATATTCAGTTCGCTGACCATTTTCTGGAATCGATTCACTTCCTTCGAATGATGTGTCATCACTGAATAGTTATTCGAACTAGCAGACAATCGATAAAATCAGAGTGACGAGCTTGGTCGTTTCTTTCTGGATGGCTTTCGATTTCGGATGATACTGCTCAAAATATGGAAAAAGATGAACAATTGAGGCAACTTAGAATGGCTTGGTGACTCCTGCCCTGGTTCGAAGACAGTTATTTGGTTGTGGAAGAGGTATAATCTATCAGTGATCATCAGAGGCTGGGTCACAGTTCTGAGAAACTTTGTCGATTTTTCATGCAATTTTTTGGTGAAAATCTTCGACAAGATTGGCGTAGGCCACAAAAAGTTTGCCGGACCTTGGGTCCGGTCGGGTAATCAAAAACTGATCCGTGACGCTCTATCCAAGCCATGAAATCGTTTTGAAATAAACCGACAAATATACGTGGAGTGTATACCTTCACTGTATTTGTAAAAACTATATTCTCAAAGGAATTTGGGATTACAAAATGGTCCATCGTAACACTCTTTTTACTGTTGTTGACGTTTATCTCATTTGATTGTCACACAGTTTTCTTCGAGAGCTAAAAGTCAATTTGTGATTTCGAGCTTCCGTGCATGGTATCCTTCTTCAACATTGAAAAGAAAAAGCACATTGACTAATACCGATACTTTCCGAACTGTGCACACTTTTAATTAATTTCAAATAGAGATCAGAGAATCCTCAAAGGCGGTGGGTGGTTGAAAATGTGCACAGTCTAGGAATGAAATACTGATATCTACATGATCAAGTTATTTTCTATGTTATTTTTCGTGGTTGGTCTTATTGTTTAATCAAGAAATGTGATGAGGTGAAATAAAAATTTTGCTGCTTCACGTGCAGCAATTGGACTTAAACGCAAGTAATCATTGTTAGGCGCTTCCTGTGCAATATTGCTGCCTGAGCGTACAATTAAATAAGGCACACCAAAGGTTTGACAGACGTGACCCAATGGCGCTGATTCCATTTCCATAATGTCGACTTTGAAATGATTGCGTAGTAAATTAATTCGTGCTTGTGGTATACCGAATAAGTCTGATGATGCAACGATGCCGAAGCGAATATTATTTTTATACGAAGTACTCTCATCGACGATTATTGTTTGTGGGTGATAGTTGTCTATGGCTTTTTGAGCAAGGGCTAGCATTGTTGCGCTTGGTTTAAATTCGTTGGCCACCTCTTTGCCTTCATCTGGACTGTTCATCGGGCGATAAACCATATCTTTGTCTGAGGTCAGGCTGCCATAATCATGTTCATAGGTGTGCGTAGCAACAATGACATCGCCGGCGCGTAATTGTTGATTTATTCGTGCACCTGTACCAGTCATTAATACCAGACGAGGTTGAAATTCTTTGATGAATAAAGTGCTCGTCATTCCCGTAAAAGTTTTACCAATACCAGTAATGGCAATAACGACAGATTTACCATGTAGTTTGCCTTGCCAATAAGGAATACCCCATAATTGTTTCTTTTCACTCTGATCCAAAGCATCGGTTAGAACAGTAATTTCTTGTGGTACAGCTCCGAGAATTACAATGATATCTCTTGCATCATAAAATCGTGGCTTTTCTTGTTGTGAAGACGAAATCATTTTATTATTGTCTGAAGAGAACAAGAATAAATGAAATCGTCGAAGGACGCTGGTAAGAGTAGAGAAAAAAGAGAAAACGTGTTGACCTTCTTTCTGTTCACCTTTTTTCATAATTCTCACCTGGTCGTCATGAATGGTAATTCTCACCAGTGCACAAAAGAAGGAACCTTTGACAACCGGATTTTAATATTATCAGATAGGTTTTTCGACTACAACTACCTCCTCCAATTGTGTTTGGAATCTGTCTTCGGTTTGTAGAACAAGTATGATACTTGTACTTGTAGTGCACGTCAGAAGCCTGGGACGTGTGAAAATACAGATTAAGTTGAACAGCCTTTTCACGAAATTTTCATCAGCAATACAGCTAAAAACCTGTGAGCGACTGTGATCTACACTTCAGTTTTTGATGGATATTTTTTGAATAACTCGAAAACGGAAAGAGATAGAGATATATGGCTTCGCCAATCACAAGAGAAGCTCATCCAGCATTTTTTCTCTGGTGGAAAGCGTTTCGGATAGCTTTCCAAATATGAGAAACGGATCATTAGAAAACTTCCGAAAAACGAGGGTTTGGCGCGTGAAACCTCGTACAAAAAAATTACTATAACTCGACTATTTATAATCCGACATACTTCACACTATAGAAGAGACCTAAGTTGTATAGTGAAAGGCAGCTATGTCATCGAATTTTAACTATTTTGAATATTTTCGTCTATGCAATGCTGAAAACTGCAAGTCTTCGAAGCGCATTGTTCGAAAGTTATTAAAGAAATAGCCACTGGCATCCTCACGGGTGGCAGTCTTTAAACTCGTACGAGATGAAAAATACTAACGTCTTCTTTTAGACTGAGAAGTTGTTTTGAACTCGCTACGAGTTCAAATGAGTGTTATATTCTCACATAGCATAGGGGAGACATGCTCATCAGGACGGGAGTGGCGGGAGATTGGAGGAGATGGCATGATGAGAGTGAATGGACACTACAGCACCAAGTTTTTAAACTCGTACGAGTTCAAAACAGCCTCCCCGATACTATATTAGAATATAACACTGATTTGAACTCGTAACATGTTTTTAAACCCGTACGAGTTCAAAACAGCCATTCTATGTTTCACGAACAATACTCTATGTGACTACATCTTCAAACAGCCCGTTCCACTCCACTGCTCTACGAACGAATAATAAAGATGCAGCGTGTGCTTTACTGATCTCGGATGGGAATACTTGAAAAGCAGAATTATTAGAAGGAAACTGGAAGGTACTGCTGTCTTTCTTAGTCGCTTTTCTTCCTAGTTACCGCTTGTACTTCCAAGCCTATTTTAGACACAACAAACAGAATGTATTCATTGAATGTATTTCATACTTAGATCCATGCAAAAGAAAAGCAAATGTACCTACCACAGGTGATGAACAATAGAAAGTAGCGAGAAACAGCCGCATTATACGTTCCACTGACTAAAAGAAAAGCATAGGCTAGACTGGAATCTCCGAAGACTGGAAAACATGTGGTAAGATTAATAAGCACTGTTCCGGGTCGATGATCGAGAGTGTTTGAAAATATTGAATTTGATAAGACCATAATTTGTCGTTAAACCATATTCTATGCAAATACTCACCAACCAGCTTCCAATTACTCTGAACTTTCAATATAAAGAGTATACAAATAAAAACTGGAAATCTTGTTCAATTACTCACTTATATCATTTGATATGTCATTTCCTCTGATATAATGGCTTAGAGTCAAGGGGAAAACAACTGACTCCAGACTCTACTGCATCAATTGACTCCACTTGACTCCACATGACTCCAAAATGTAATAGAATTGTGGAGTCACATGTAGGAATATAACAATTCGTATCAGTTTTTAAGAAGTGATCGAATCATAGAATCAATCAATTCATCCATTGCTCATTATTACTCAAAAATACTCATTGATGAGTACTTATGGTTCCCAAAACGCAACAGTTTTGTTCTGTTACCAGGATTAAATCCCCACAACCGAACACAATTGTCCTGTTATAGGGACTAGATTCCCACAACAGAGCACAATTTCTGTGTTATTAGGAACCATAAACATTTCTGAATAAGTCATGATTGTAGCCCGCGAAATTCTGATTGGGTGGGAGATATCTCAGCATGGTTGATTACCTATAAGCTATGGCATTTCGTTAGAAAAGCTCTCTCTTGAAGTTTCTTGAACACTTGAGACAGAGTAAGTATGAGCAGAGGCGTGAGGGAAACGCAACTAGATTATCCAGACAAAATCTTAAAAAGTAAGCTTTTACACGATTTTAGTAAGATTATTTCGATAAGTGCGTACTGTTTTCACTACAGTGGGTCATTTTCCCAGAAGATCGTGTAGAGAAAGTTAACACTTACGAGGGAATCTTCCGAGGTGATAAATCGGTTTTTGATCGACATCTAGTGAGTTATACGTTATCGACCATGCATACGTAATTAATGAATGTTTCGTTTCCTTGCGGTCACCTGGCAGCGTGTGTGAGCTGTGGTCCATCTCTTCGCGCTTGTCCTATATGTCCACGTGAAATCGATGCTTTTGGTCCCGTCTGCATTTAACAACGATTAGAAATTCTTTATTTTGAAAAACTTATATACTTACATAAAAATAGATACTTTTGTATTTGTTCGGTTTGTTTAATTTCGATTATCAAAAATTGCTATTGAGAAGATTTGAAAAAAAGAAGAAATTTTATGTTTTTATGAACTGTACGCTCTCTTGAAGTTTCTTGAACACTCGAGACAGAGTAGGTATGAGCAGAGTCGCGAGGAAAAATGTTACCAGGAAAAACAACTAGATTATCCAGGCAAAATCTTAAACACGATCAATCTTAAATACTTTTACACGATTTTAGTGAGATGATTTCAAAAAGTGCGTAGTGTTTTAACCACAGTGGGTCATTTTCCCAGAAGATCGTGTTAAGAAAGTTAACACTTAGTTTCTGACTTTATTCAGAATCTTCTAACTTTATACGAATCTTTACTTGCGTTTGATGGGAATACGTTGCAGGAGAACGCTCCAGACTCACATAATTCGCTTCGTTTATTGTGACTATACGAGCAAAACGACAGGATGGCTATACTGTAAATCCCACGATTTCCATACAAGTACTCAGTTGCTGTTGTTCTTCAGCAATTGGGTAACTCGCAATATAAGATCAAATGGATAGGTGACAAGTGCATCCGCTAACAGCGATCATCAGTGCAATATTCTCTTGTAACTGATTCTCATGTTCACATCGCAATTTAAAAGAAAATCGAAATGTGTTGCAAAAGTCGACTACCAGTAGTCACTTCGATGCTAGTCACTTTTTAAAAAAATGTTTAATCTAATACTGATAAAACTTTTCCAAATAGCCGGTTTTGTGGAGAAACGCTAACGCTACAAACCAGAGTTGATTACCTACATAATTTTGTCATTACATTACATACAACAAGAACGAAATTGATTATTTTTTTTATTGTATATTTTTCGTTTAGTTTAGTTTAAACTTCTATTCATTTAAGAAAGAGAAATAAAAATACTCATTCTACACAGATGCACTCCAAGCCATTATATCAGAGGAAAATGACAGATCAATATTTTCAATATTTTGAAACACTCGCGATCATCGACCCGGAACAGTGCTTATCAATCTTACCACATGTTTTTCATTCTTCGGAGATTCCAGTCTAGCCTATACTTTTCTTCTAGCTAGTGGAACGTGTAATGTGGTTGTTTCTCGCCGGCTTTTTATTGTTCACCAGCTGTCGTACATTTGCTTTTCTTTTGCTTAGGTGAAGAAGCCGATGGAGAAAAGATATCTTTACTTCAAAAGAATGAAATATTACAAATATTCCCGAAATTAAAAAATCATGTTAAATTTAGAAGGTTGTTATTTGGTAATACATACGCGATCGATCGTCAAAGTCAACAGTTACGACAACTTCATTTAGTTTCTTCGTCTGAATTCGGACAACCTGTACATAAAAGCGATAATATAGCACTAGGGCCAAATTTGACGATTGGACGCATAGATAATGAAAATTTTCCAATTGACAATACTGTTACTATTACCACGACGAAAACAAACGAAAATGTTGAAGTAAAGTCGGTATACCGCATAGTCATAAAACCGCATTATATGCCGCGTCAACATTGCTTACAACTGGTAACTGTTTTAGAACACCCAAACGCTTCTTTTTCATGTCTTTAATGACTGGCCCATTCTGTCCAGATATCCTGACCAGCTCAGAGAATTTTCACAGTTAAATTTGTGGAGAATTTAACGAGCTATCCCATGGTATTCTTTTAAAGAATATATAGTTTCTTAGTAAGACAGAAAAATGACTAAAGGCGTGTTCCACAGGCGTTTTCCGTGGATCCAACACGTTTTCTGCATGTTCGTAATGATCGAGCCGACCGATCTAGATTGTCTGACTAGCTCAGTTCGGCTGTACTCCAAAATTTTGTGTTTTTCTCAAGTATCTGGAAACTAAAATCATTCGATGCATTTTTCGACACGAACTCTAAACAATCTTGTCTCGAGCTTCTGCATTGAACAGAAAAGAAATTATGCCACATTTCGCGAAAGTTTGCAGTTTGACAAAAAGAAGGCGCCTCTCAGTTTTTCTCTCGTGCTTCACCTAAGTTAGGTGAAGTAACTCATGTTTGCCTATTTTTTAATAAAATTAAAAAATTCATAACCTATCCAAGATCCATCCATATTACCTCAGAATATCAATATGTGCTCTATTTTACCTTCTCTACAGGATGCGACTCAATAAAAGCCATAAAAGTCAACAGAAAATACTTTGATTTTCCAAAGGGTTTTCTAGAAATCTTTCGAAGTACAGCAATGCTTTTCGCTATTCTCAAGTAAAAAAATATATAGAGCAGGTACACTAGAGTGCATCTTGATATTCTGACGCAATTTGGATGGATCTTGGATGGGTTATGAATTTTATTAAAAAATAGGCAAAAATGAGTTACTTCACCCAATATGCATTTTCACTAGGTTTCTGGAACTATAGAGAAATCAAGAATCAAAAACAGTGTCCTGAATTTGGAACGCTGATAATCAAAGGGTTAAATGACTTTTATCATAGTTACTACTTTGACAACAGGATTAACTTTGATACGATATATATGTATATATACGTCTACAACCAAAGAACTGGAAAAGTGAATCTACTGTTAATGTGTCCGTAGTTTGAAAGCCTTAATATTTTCTTGACAAAATAAAATATGTGGATGATTATTAGGTAAATTAGTATTGAGGACTGTGCAATGGTGAAATTTTATCTTCAACGCAGCCAAAATTCAACAATAATCAATTAAACTAATTCGCCACCACCGTCCGCAGAAGTTTACGAAATCCTATCAGAATTTTGCGAAATATTTTCAGAATTTTGCCACGCAAAGCAGAATTTTGTGAAATATAACTGAATTTTGCCAAATCTAGACAGTTCTAAGAATATTCTTGCAAAATTCTGTTATATTCCACAAAATTCTGCTTTGCTTTGCAAAATTCTGAAAATATTTCGCAAAATTCTGATAGGATTTCGCAAAATTCTGCTGGTTTTGGCAAAATTCTACCAAATCTGTGACAGTTCTAAGAATATTCTTGCAAAATTCTGTTATGTTTCACAAAATTCTGCTTTCCTTGGCAAAATTCTCAAAATATTTCGCAAACTTCTGGGAATTGTGGTGATGAATTAGTCTAGTTTATGATTGATGAATTTTGGCTGCGCTGAGGATAAAATATCACCATTGCACAGCTATGAATACAATGGACTATATAAGCAATATTTGAATATTAAGCTGATATTTTTGGAAAATATGATGGAATACCTCTACACAAATTTGATAATTTGTTAACATATTCTAATGTATTTTCTATATCATCTATTTTGCAATAAAACATAGCTAAATTATGATATAAAAATGAAAATAGTATACGATTATGACCTAACTGCAATGGCATATGTTCTAATTCATTAAGTGCTTTTACCGTATAAAGAATGACTTGATTATAATCACCATGAATATAATATGACGTTGCTATATTACTATATAAGCATGGATCTATAGTCGATTCACTTGTGTGTTTATCTAATGATAAATTATGATATGTCATAGCCATTTGCATATTATATTTATTTTGATAGATTAGTGCAATATTTGAATAAACAGATGAAACATGTGGATGATTTAATGGTAATTCATTTAATAATATTTTATAATAACGTTCAGCTAAATCATATTTTCCTAAATCCATTAAAATATGTCAAATTAAACCGAAATTATCATCATCTTTATTAAAAGTTACAAATTTAAAACATTCAGAAAGTATAGTTAATCGAATATTTTGTTTAATACGTTTACATAATAAGAGTCTTACATTCCATATTTTTGTATCATCATCATATTTTACGGTTATAATTTTAAATAAACAACCCATTGAAAATAATACTTCATTTTCGTCAGACGGAGCACTCTTACGTGTGACACTAGCATAGGGTTTTATTTCATCATCCTCATGGATATTTTTCTGTGATATATCGATAATTATTAATAAAGATGAAAGTATTGGATGATTTAAACCAGCAAAAAATCCACGTGCTACATTATATTCAATAGATGTTCATAAAAAACTATTCCAGGATACATATTCACCAATATTTTTTATGAAAATTTCTAACTCATTTTTTCACATAAACTGTTCCTTATAAACAGTATGAATATTTTGTAATGAATCTTCTAATTTTTGATTTTCATATAATATGTTTAATTGATTATGAAGATCAAAAAAAGTAGGAAAAAACGAAGTGTATAGATAATATCAATATTTTCTGCTCTTAATGCTTTGTTTAATAAATGATAGACAAATGAATCTTTTGTATACCACAAAATAGTATCTGATGGTTTATAATCTGTTTGAAATTTATCTATTTGCTTAATTTGAAATTTATTATCTTTATAATATTGACGACAGATGTCTATCATATCAGTTTTAGCACGTGACGATACTCTTTCTGTAAAATCGAGTATAAAATCCATCAATATTTGAAACCACATATACATTGTACTTTCTTTACTTAAATGTTTCGTGGATTTATCATTTTCATCTGATAACAGAATATTCATTGGTATTATTTCATGTGTACATAGTGTATAATCTCTGGTTAATTAATTGTTATACAAGATTATCTCTACTAACACAGCTTGTTTTGGGATATTTTTCATTATTTTCATCATTAATATTACATACTAGATAACTAAGTTCAAATTTGTAATATATTACAACCAAACAATAGTAAATTATTCAACATCTTTGTTGAATTTTGCTGGATCATATGATATTGTTTCAGGGATTTCTAAATTAGATATTTAAAAGTGTACATTTTTACAAGTAGCCTTCATCTTTGATCCATATTAGTTCATAATGCGCATCCACGTAGACATTTTGTCAAATTTTTCGTGATCAACTTTGTTCATGAACTTTCCTTTCGAAATTTGAGAAAACAATGCCTATTTAATTATTCTCTTCCGATAGCTAGTTTCAAGAAATTAGCACATCAGCTGATGCCAATTGTTGATATGAAAATAGCTTATAGGAAAACACTCATTCTCCAAAATATTGTCCTACCTTTGCAAAAGATTGATATGTAACGGAAAAAGAGAAAAATCTTGTTTATTCCATACTTTGTATGGACTGTGATTACGAATATTACGGACTAAAGCATAAAGAGAAGAATATCTGAATCCGTTCATTTCCGATTTTTCTTTGCGTGAAATTTATTTCATGAATGACGCAAAATATCAGCATGCTGTTTCCAACATTCGATAGCCAATACTTTAAGCTATGTTTTCATAAGCAAAAACGAGTTTGGGAACAATTTTAAAGATCAACTTTCAACGTATCTCTGGAAAACCACTTCGTATCTCTCAAAACTAAACCAACAATTAATCGCTTTTTTTCATACGTAGATAGTCCCAAGTGTCCTATTTAAAATGGGAATCAAGCAAGCTATCATTTTTTTGTGGTTTAGGCGTGGCATCGGATTTCCTCGAAGCCCCAGGATCGATATTTCTTTAGATGTAGTAATCTCAAAAACGAATGAAAACATAGGTAATCAACTACGGTCAATCTTCTGGCAACATTTGTTTTTCAAAACAGTTCCAGAAACCTAGTGAAAATGCATATTGGGTGAAGTAACTCATTTTTTGCCTATTTTTTAACAAAATTAAAAAATTCATAACTCATCCAAGATCAATCCAAATTACGTCAGAATGTCAAGATGTACTTTAGTTTACCTGCTCTATATATTTTTTTACTTGAGAATAGTGAAAAGCATTGCTGTACTTCGAAGATTTCTAGAAAACCCTTTCGAAAATCAGAGTATTTTCTGTTGACTTTTAATGATCTCGGATGGGAATACTTTAAAACCAGAATTATTAGAAGGAAACTGGAAGCTACTGCTGTCTTTCTTAGTCGCTTTTCTTCCTAGTTACCGCTTGCACTTCCAAGCCTATTTTAGACACAACAAACAGAATGTATTCATTGAATGTATTTCATACTTAGATCCATGCAAAAGAAAAGCAAATGTACCTACCACAGGTGATGAACAACAGAAAGCAGCGAGAAACAACCACATTATACATTTCAGTGGTTAGAAGTAAAGTATAGGCTAGAATGGAATCTCCAAAGAATGGAAAATGTGGTAAGATTAATAAGCACTGTTCCGAGTCGCTGATCGACAGTGTTTGAAAATATTGAATTTGATAAGACCATAATTTGTCGTTAAACCATATTCTATGCAAATACTCACCAACCAGCTTCCAATTACCCTGAACTTTCAATATAAATAATATACAAATAAAAATTGAAAATCTTCTTGTTCAATTACTTTTCAATACAAGCTGATTATTTCGGAAATTTCACATGTCTATGTATCAATGTTCTTTTTGTAAGCTGAAGGAGAGAAACGTTTTATTCGAAAATCGCTTATATCATTTGATATGTCATTTTCTTCTGATATAATGGCTTAGAGTGCATCTGTGTAGAATGAGTATTATGATTTCTCTTTCTTAAATGAATAAAGTTTAAACTAAACTGAACGAAAAATATAGAATAAAAGAAAACAATGAATTTCGTTCTTATTGTAAGTAATGTTTCTTTTACTATGCGTATTACGTGTAGTAAGTAGAAGATGACAAAAGACTATAACGATAACAAAAATATAGAACAAGGGTAATGAATCGTAACGAGTAAACGCCCCCCCTTCCCCATAATAGAAGACCACCTGGTCTTCTATTTTGTCTCTCAAGTCAAGTTCTAAAGGGTGGTCTTCTATTGCGGTCAAATTTTGTCGCCTGCTAGTAGTCCAGCGGTAACCTGACGTACTCAAAGTCTAATTGAAGTCCATTCAAGAAAATACATAGCTCTGCGTGGGGTGAATCAAGAATTTCTCAAGAGACATTGGTCGAAAACATCTTTTCCACTTGAATGGATGAAAACGATGCGAAGTAGGTAGTCGACTATGAAAGATCAGAAAATGAACGTTAGTGACCTCTACGATTGATTCTATTGGTCGAAATGTTTATCTCAGCGTCGATGGATGAAAATGATGTGCAATAAGTATTCGACTATGGGGAATAAAGAAATGGTGATGTATATGCCACCGGAAAACATCAGCGTGACCGACAGGAGTACACACACTTGTGAACACTGTGTAACGGGTGTGAATAAACATATAGTGTACTAGCGAACACCGACCGAAGAGAGGTGTGAGCGTTGTCTTTGATTCGAAGTCATCGAAGGTCGTTCGTAGATAGAAGTTCCTAACGTCAAGGTAGAGTCACCTTGAGTATATGTGCAGGGAGGGCTCAACACTGTGAAAAACTGTCACGTTGTAAGCGAGCGTTACTTACGACCGATAGTACAATAAAAAGTAGAACATCAGCTGAACAGCTTCGTGACTTCGTGGGAGAATCAGCGGGCTGACGAGCCTTACTTGGCTCAACTTGATAAGATGAAATGGTATAGAATAGAGGTATTCGACTATGAGGAATCAGAAAATGGCTATGAACGATCTCTGGGATCGATTCTTTTGGTCAAAATTTCATCTCTCAAAATGGTATTTCCTTGGGTGTAAAGGAAAGGGTCTTGTCAAGTTAAAGTATATGGAAATTGGTAAATTCTATTGGGGTATCTAAGTGTGGTTCAGGACAGAATAGGACTTCAGGTTGGTAATTACGTGAGGAAGGGGAAGCATCATGCAAGTGAGGTGTGTAGCGAAAATAGCTCCGGCTCATAGTAAGTGATCATTAAGAAAAAACTGCTTCGGTCAGAAGAAAGTTCGTCCCATTAAGGAATGCGTATCGAAGCAAGCGCTCAGCGAGACAAGCATTGTGTAAATTATTGTGTAATGGCTCTTGTTTTCTCAAGCTTTTAGCTGATTACAGTAGTTTCCCAGCGATTTATCCTAGTCTGCTTCGTTTTCCTTAGTTTCCCTTCAGAATCTCTAGTTTCCTTTTATTTCATTCCACGTTTCTTCGGTTCTCTCTCTCTCTCTATTTCATTTCTCCATTTAGAATATAGTCAGAAGAAAGATGTAGCATTTTGTTTCTTTCTTCTGACTATAATCTAAATCGAGAAATTCTGTATACCATTTCGCAGCAAATCGACATGTTTTTTTGTTTGTGCAAGTATGTCATTTGTTGAATAGTGTTGTAGAATAGGCTGCGATGAATATGTTAAAAAATCGAGAGAATTTTCTTACCTATGTCTTGCTACTGTTTATAATCTTTTATTATCGTTACCAATAACGGTTGCAAAACATAAACGTGGTTTCGGCAAGATGAATTTAATTAAAAACTATTTACAGCACTTAGCAATAAAACATTTGTAAGGTTAATAACAATACATAACATTTGTAAGGTTTAGTGGAAAACAATATGCTAGATAAAGTCAATTTGAAGCGTATTGAGTGGGGACAAATGAAAAAGCGTCGTGCTAAATTGAATTGTTGAAAGTCATAAACAGTCGCTTTGTTTTGTTTTTTCGTTCTTTTTGCTTTTCATTAGTTTTCTTTTTTATTTGAGGAACTTTTGTGCCATCAATTTACGGAACAAGCGTAAACAGTGTTTGTATAATTAACATGTAGAATAAGCCCGCTCAGGCGGCAGAAAATTGCCATCTGTATTATATGTAAATGTAAATATATATTTATCATTTTGTTGTTGTTACTGATAACCTTGCCTGTGCATCAATACTTTTTAACATATTTTTGGCAAAACAGTATAAATTTTATAAATATTGTATTTATGAATAGTCCAACAAGAGAGAACTTGCCTTCGCCAACTGAAAGCAGCTAATAAGATCTTTTAACCGACAGCAGTCATAGACCTCTACTAGATAGAATACGTTTTTTCGTCTTCAAAATACGTTACTCATCGCACATAATATATCATTAACAACTGACACGACCCCAAAGTTGAAAGGATTGCGACAGCCCTGACAATTTTATCAAGCTCGGGGTGTACACCAACCCACACACTCACTCCCAAAATCCAGGTCTCTGAGTGCAGGGTCCTTGAGTCATTCTGATTTATTCTGAGTGAGTTAAGAATTTATTGGTTTTTATTGCAAACAACTTTTTGGAGAACTTGCATGGATAATGTACTGATTCTTCCTTATGATATACAAACGAATTTTCTTTTCTTCGACTTTTACTGAATAAGCTATCGTTATCCACTCAAAGAGATATGATTAGACATTTAAAGTAAAAAGAAGTGTCAATTATCATTAGTAGAATTGTAGTCTGTCAATGATACCAGATTCGCCCTGTTCGTCGCACAGTCAGTCACATACTGTCGATTAACGGAGTAAGCCATTCGAAGACGCTTCGTGCTAAGTATACCTTCATAAATTAATGCTACAATTGTTTACGAATTTGATAATTAAGTTAAAAAAGTTTGAACCTTTCTCTTCGTATTTTATTATATTAATGAAGTAATACAATTAACTAAACGTTTCGATTAACGTTTCAAACGAAGGTTCAAACTTTTTTAACTTAAGTATACCTTCATCACATACCGCCTCTGGCTCAGAAAATACAAAGTGTTGGCGCTCTCTAGATGGACAGAGCTTTCTGAAAGTCATACAGAAATCTTCAGAAGCTGAATCCCACGATTACCATCTTTTCAGACATAGTACAATCCAGAAATCAGTAGAAACGCTGTTTTTCTGGAAGCCTTCAGTAACCTGTAACCGATCTTAACTGGTCCTCACAGGTCGATTACCCATTCTATATCACTTTCACCAAATCAAGTTGAAAATAAAATTCGAGCAGTAAGAAAGCAGATGGACCTCCGTCAGAGTCATATTCGTGTTCTCCGTATCAAACAATCTCTATCACATTAGTACTATAGATTTATCCATCGAAAAAAATTCATAGAGCTTTTCCATAGTTAAATAGATTTTTTTATTTTGCTTGTATTGCGAACAACCGAGTAGACATTTCAGTCTGTGCGATCCTCATTTACTTTATTTCTTTTGACACCTACGGTATAAAAAGACAGCACTCGAGAAAGAAAACTTTTATGTGCATTTATAATATAATTGAACTTCTTTTATATCTATTGCTGATAAAACATTGCGTTGTCCAATTTTGGCACTAGCATCTTTAGGTACCATTGTCGGCTTACCATTTGAACTAAAATAGTCTGTACCGTAATGCATTAAACTTCCATAATCGTAAGGTGTCCCTTGTGTATCAACTGTAGTCGTATATTTATTAAACGCATGTTCCAAACCTGTACGTGCAAATAGAAACAAGTGATTATCATTTGTAAGCGGCAAATGAAGTACCTTTTTGCACATTAGCATAATTTACAGTTACATATAAATCTCGATCAGGTCGTGATTGTTCATGCCAAAATCCTAAAAAAATGATCTTGTTCAATTGTGGCAGCTATAATATATGACAGATCATATACCTAATGTGTGCATCAATTCATGCACAATGGTGCCTTCATGGATACACCCATTACGTGATAAAGTTAATTCTAATTTTCCCCTCCAATTTTGTCCGACCTTTTCAAAACAAAGGCATTCAGAGAATATTAATTACAGTGAATGTATGACTCATCCACTTCAGGTTTGAAGCTTACACTAGAAGAACAACCAGTTCCATCTACAACTGTAATAAAATATTTGTCTGTCGCTGTCTTCGGACGAAATGATACACAAATTTTATTTTTAATCGAAACTGCACTTTCCAATTTTCTCATTGCACTAACGATCGCCGCTTGTTCTCTCGCATCTGTAACACAAGAAGGGTATCGGTATAGAACCATATTTTTCAGCTTTACAGTATACGAACTATAGACTGGAGATATTACATATGGAACGATACCATTAGTCCATCGAGCTTGGGCTGGCTTTTCACCAACGCCACGCTTATCGAGAAAAAATGATTCAGATTGATCATGAATGAACGAAGCGTTTATGAGAAATACTCACTGTACCAACTGGAAGAATAATGTCACCTTCGAATGCTTCAGCTGCAAAAAGAAAGTAGAAATGTGTGCAACAAACACGTACAGACAGATAGAAACACAAGTCTCACCCAATTCTTCTGGATTACGAACGTCAGCATCTAAAATCTAAGTAAATACGGAAAATGAAAAAGTCTTCTTAGTGAGATCCGTTTCTTCAAGCTGCGTTAAAAACTGGAAAAAGAACGTTTGAAAAATTCTGAGAAATCCATGATGAAGAAAAAATCTCAGGGATCTTTTTAATAGATTAGAAAATTTTCTCTTCTTGATCTTCTGTAGAGAAACGCGACGTTTTCTTGTTTTTGCAGGAGTTTTGTCCTGTTGTAAAAAATGTAAACAAATGCTTTTCATGCTCATCTTCTAAGATACCTTGCTTTAAGGGGGCGTTAGACCAAAGTCCGACCTATTCTAGTCAACAAGCAATAGCTTTCAGGGTAAAGAGCGTCATGTACATCACCATAGAAAAGGGCTCATTTAGACTATCATTTAAATGAATTATAATAAGAAAATAATTCTCTGAACATTGCTTACCATTCTTGGATAAGCATAAATATTTTTATAAACAAACATTATCGTTAAAAAATAGATAAGTTTTCCAGCAGCCATTAATGTCTGTTTAGTCTGTCGTTATCAGTGTAGAATGTCTTGTAACGTGTGTATGAGTCAATTATCACTTCTAAGTAATCATATCTACCCGATGTTTCACAATCAAATATTTTCTCATTTTTGTTGAAAAAAAATAGAGCAAGACTTATGGGCTTACTGAGGCAAAATATCTAGTAGTTGTTAATTAAGGACAGAGGGTCCTCTGA